AGCAATTGTACTAACTTGATTTCTGAATCAGTATTGAACCCGTTAGACTTACTGGACGCAGCGAACCCTTCATTCAATATCCTTCGGGGGTAGGGGTGGGGGGTGGGTGTGTGTGTTTTTTTTTGTTAGCCTAGTGGTTAAAGCGTTCGCTCGTCACACTGAAGACGGGGGTTCGATTCCCCACATAGGTACAATGTGTGAAGCTCATTTTTGGTGTCCCCCGCCGTGATATTGCTGGACTTTTGCTAAAAGTGGCCTCACTGACTCCAATATCCTTCGCCCCCTCCCTCCATAATCTTTATAAACATATACTTACTTCTCCTCATATACAACCAGTGTATTGTTGTTGCACGCTATTCTGGACATCTGCGGGTCGCTCACCTTCCGGTTCGATATCAATTTGCCGTCGCTGCTGTTACTGTCCCATTGGGATGGATATTTGACATCGACATGTATTGAGACGTACCGCATTTCGACTAAACCCAAGCCTTAACTAGGAAGACTTCCTATTGATAAGCGAGTTCTCTCACATCTCAGAAACCCTTCTTTCGCCGAAGTGACAGAGAATAGTTTTATTCACAATGTGGAATTTGCAAGAGAAGGGGACACTTCGTCCAATGACCTTTCTGGTGACATTGTTGGTGACAAGCCTGCTGTCAGTGTTCATCTTGATGAACTACGCTGAACATTCTGCACACGTCCGAAAATTATCGCAAAGTCCGTCTATGATGGCGTCAGCAGACAAGTTCTTGAAAGAATTCGATGCACACGATCTTGCGCGGACCGAACATATAAGATGGACCAAAGACAAGACTCGGATAAAAGCAATTCGGAATCCAAAACCGGATTCCATCATCCCGCGCGGACTGAACATATAGAATGGATCGAAAGGCAAGACTCGGATAAAGGCAATTCGGAATCCAAAACCGGATTCCATCATCCTGCGCGGACTGAACATATAGAATGGATCGAAAGGCAAGACTCGGATATAAGCAATTCGGAATCCCAAACCGGATTCCAGAGAGTCGGGGATGCTCTCAATACGTACGTGTATTCAGCAATATACGATGACATTGATGTCCCAATAATCAGAGTAATAGCACTGGTTAGATATTTCCGGGATGCTAAGAGACTGCCCACATTTATGTGCACATACTTCAACGCTTCTGGTCACCCTTCTTCGGTAACGTACACTGGGATACTGCAGTATGTACCAGAGCCCAACTGGGGATACAGGTAGGTTTTACTTGAAACTTATTGTATGAAATACTAATCGGACATGTTGGGACGTGTACACAGTATGCACAATGAGACGTTACGTTAAAGATACATGGGACATGTTTAATTAGCTTCTTTGCTGTTTATTGTCCCATTCAACAATATTCCAGCTTTTTGGCGGCGATCTGTAAATAACTAAGTCTGGACCAGTCCATCCAGTGATCACGATCTAAGCAATTAGGATACAATGGCATGCATCAACCAAGTCGGCGAGCCTTACCATCCGCATGGACAAGCACGGGTTGCTGAAGACCAATTCTAACCCGAATCTTCACGGGTCACATTGGGCACGTAGGACGTGATGGTGACATGTTTTAATGTCACCATTCAATATACAAAACAAACACAGTTTACATGACGGAACTGTCAATAAGGAACAGAGTGATTGATATGAAAAACATATATTGGAATTAATTGTTAAAAAGAAAATTACCAAGTGAAATTACACTCGATAAGCTCGTGATCCTTAATTAATTTCGGAGTGAGTGAGTGAGTGTGTGTATGTGTGTTGGGGAGGGTGGTGTGGCCAGGACACAAAGCGAACGCTTTAACCACCAGGCTACCCTACGCCCAAATACCGTATCAAGACTTTACTGAAGATTATTGGATTATATATACAACAGAGAAGATGAATAGATTGTATCTAGCCACAGACCTTGGAATCAAACCCCTTTTTGTCACCCGTCCATATGTTGGCCTTTTGCGGTTGTCCCGAAGAAAAAGCTGGGTCCCGCGCATTTCTTGTTTAGTCATATTGCTCGGCTAACTCAAGGTGCATTAGCATCGTACCAACTATGGGCTGAACATTGAAATGCTAGGATTTTCAGAGACCATTTCGTTCAAGTTATTTGTGGTTATTGTTACTGGTTATACATAAACGTCTCCGTTTTTACTTTTCAGATACCTTTCAGGATTTACATAAGATATATATTTCAATAACCTATTTTCAGATACCATTCAGGATTTATCAAATGTATGCTGCCCAAACATGGCCGACCATCAGCAGTCAGCATCAGTGGGAATATTACTGCAGAGGCCCATAATATGCTGAGAGTTATCTACCCCTTGAAGAAAAAGAGACAACTGACCAGATGTTTCTCAGCACTTCATTCCAATTTCAGCAACACTTTGCAGCTGATACAGACACTTGAAATCAGTCTCATGTTCGGTGTCGAACACTTCATTGTTTACAATTACAGTATACACGAATCTGCCATGAATGTTTTGAAACATTACAGTAATTTGGGAGTGTTAGATATCTTACTTTGGGATGTACCTGTAAACCAAACTGACATTCATTATTTTGCACAACTTGCTGTTATTCATGATTGTCTATATAGAAACTTGCACGTCTCTGATTACATACTGACGGGAGACACGGATGAAGTCTACATACCTAAACGGGGTGGAAGCACTTTAGACATGATCAATGACACCTTGAAAGGTCAGCCATCATGTTCTGGTATTCTTGTCCAAAATGCATTTTTCCCTTTGAACCTTCAACCTCATGTGGGGAATTTTACCCTGAAACAGGAAGCAAGAAGACTCGGTATCACTTATCTGTTGTACACAGGTCGTTTAAAAATCAACAAACCGAGCGATAGGTCAAAACTGATCATCAAACCTACGGGTGTTGAGATGAGTTATATACATAATATTGAACGTCTTCGGAGAGGACACACTGACTGCATATGTCCCTCTTCTCAGTGCATCCTTCATCATTACCGTGTTGTCCCGCCAAGACAGTGGGGTTCCCTCCAACAAACTGATGCCACATTGCTGAATTGTTCTGAAAACATTGTTAAACGGGTGATCGAGACAATGGACCAATTAAACCTGGATAGAGGTACCAGTTCTATAAAAGTGTAAATGGTAATGTTCTGGGCATGTTGAACTCCGAATCTAACGAGGAATCTAACGGGGGAGTAACGGGGAAAGGAAAATTGTCTTCACTTGAAAAAAACCGCGTATTTTGCGTTGTGTGCGTGTGTGTTAGCGAATAGTTGTCAAATTGCAAACAGCATAGGAAATTTTGCATAGGAAAATATTATTGTTAATAAAATGTTTCACTGACCGATCACAGTTCCTTGTTTTTATTTTGGAATTTAGAGGAGTGAGTATAGATTTACGCCGCTTTTAGCAATATTCAAGCAATATCACGACGGGGAAACCAGAAATGGGCTTCACACAATTTACCCATGTGGGGAATCGAACCCAGGTCTTCGACAAACGCTTTAACCACTAGGCTACCCCACCGCCCCTTGGAATTTAAAAGCATGGAAGTAGAAAGTTTTAGCTCGTCATTCTACTTAGGTTAAAAAACGCCATTCTGGGATTCAACGCCGAGAAACCAAGAAGAAATAACCATGATCTATGGGGATTCAAACCGATACTGACATGATTCTGGGACACCCAAGGGCGAAACTCTTCATAGCGAATACGAGCTACCAAAACGACAGGGCCACGGATTTTGGGCCACATATGACATACAGGGTGTGTTCAATAGAATATGAAATAGGAGAGTTTGATGTCACGTGTAACAGAACCAGTGAGTGAGTGAGGTTTGACGCCAGTTTTAGCAATATTCCAGTAATATCACGGCGGGGCACATATAGAACTCATGTGGGGAATCGAACCCGAGCCTTCGGCGAGACGAGCCGGCGATTTAACCAAAAGGCTACTCCACCGCCCCCTTCACTTTGGGACACAACGCGAGTCACAATACAAGGTTCTTCGAGTTAACATACAATGCAAATGGCGTGGATATAAAAGTCATATATGTGACCTATGGGAATATCTGTGATCACGAGCAGATAGGATTCACAGAATCCGCGATCATTCATATTTACAGACAATTGTCCAATATGATCAAATCGATTTTAGCAAACAAAGATACATAAATTGTTTGCACTAATCATTTATTTATTGCATTTTTTACGTGCACTGGTGGTTTGTGTAGGTTTAATCAATGGGGTGGCGGTCGATCGAAGTAGACCTTCGTCGTCAGGAGTAAACAGACACCAGAATAGAAGCGAATAAACAATTCATGTATTCATTAGAAAAAATCTGAGTCAGTAAGACATGCGTTCATGCATAACTATCAAAAACTATGATACCGGGTGTTGCTGAAAGGGGCGAATCCTGGCCCATCGGTGACATTCGTCACAAACACATGCAGAGGCAAGTAAATTGCTTACAAAAGACCGAAACTCACATTGTGCACACCAAAATAGGTTACTACATCGGATATCGTCGCATATTTTTCTGTTGACTCCAGACTGCATGTTTTTATTTGCCCCATTTCTGGTGTCCCCCGCCGTGATGTTGCGGGAATATTGCTAAAAGCGGCATAAAACTAAACTCACTCACACAAACCCGGTTTGGCAAGACGAATGAACGCTTTAACATCTAACTCAGCTACCCCTATATCTTCACCGACATGTATTGAATATTCTTTCTACGATATCCTTGTGACTTCATTAATATGTGTCCCTTCAGGTAAAGGCAGTATGTCGTTCCGCTTGCAGGTTTGAACTGTTGTGGAATTCTTCAATGGTCCCATGGCAATGCTACTGAGTAGCAATGTGACACCGATATCAAGGACAATGAATTAGTATTGAACTGCACGTGATTCAAGTTTGGGTGGTTGGTTGGTTATATAGTTTTAGGGCAACGTGGGATTCAACTTTGGAGGCATCAATAAGAGTTATCTCCTCTTTAAGGTTGGGTGCATCACTCTTTGAAGAACTGGGTCACATTAGCTGTGTTCACGATGCGACGGGAGAAGTTACGAGGGAAGAAGAAAGTGAACATAAGAAAGCTGTTGGCAACCTTGCTGATGGTTGGCTTGATATCAGTGTTTGCCATGTTAAATTATGCCCAACAATCTGTACACTTTCGGAAGCTGGCTCAAAGCTTGTCTGTGATGAAGTCGGCTCGAGGATTCTTGCAACGTTTCTATGCAAATCATCATGCGCGGAGCAATTCAGAATCCCAAACCGGATTCCAGGAAGTTGGGGATGCTCTCGACACGTACGTGTATTCAGCAACATACGATGACATTGATGTCCCTATAATCAGGGTAATTGCATTGGTTAGATATTTCCGGGAGGCTTGGAGACTGCCATCATTTGTTTGCACGTACTTAAATGTTTCTGGTCAGGCTTTCCCGGTCACGTACACTGGGATACTGGAGTATATACCAGAGGCTAACTGGGGATACAGGTAGGTTTTACTTCAAACGCATTGTGTTAAAGATACATGGGACATGTTTTGCTTGCTTGTTTGTTAATTACCGCATTCAACAATATTCCAGCTTTTCGGCGGCGGTCTGTAAATTACTAAGTGTGGACCAGACCATCTAGTGAACACGATCTACGCAATTGGGATACGATGACATGCATCAACCAAGTCCGCAAGCCTTACCATCCGATCCCGTTAGTCGCCTTTAAAAGACAAGAATTGCTGAAGATCAGTTCTAACCCGGATCTTCACGGGTCACATCGGGCATGTAGGATCGGGTGGTGACATCTTTTAATGTCATCTTTCACAATATAAAACAAACTCCGTTTACATGACAAGAATATCAATAAGGAACAGAGTGATTGTGTGGAATAAAAAGAAAAATTATTTGTATAAATCTACTTTAATCATTTGGCACATAGATATAAACAATTTCAGTGGAATCTTTTTGTTAAAAGAGAATTGCCATGAAATGAAACTATTCAAGCTCGTTATCCTCAATTAATTTCTGACTTTTAAGGAAATTTCAATATTACAGCAGAGGAATCCGATTGCTTTTCTTTCAAGAATAAAAAACGAGCCAGGGTCCCAATCCACAAGGTGTTCGTAGTGCTACGACATTCGTAAGCCTATGGTAAACTATAGGAGTTACGATAGGACGTTACGTTACGGGCGGTTTGTGGATCGGGACCCAGGTCAAGTAAATATTAGAAATGAAGGATACATAGCTCTCGATTTGAATATATAATCTGGCAAGATTTTAATCATCAAAAAAGGCAGTCTGGGTGGTCTTAGACATAACTGCCGCACTCAACTCTTGACATCCATCTGAAACAATCCTCAACTTCAAGACAATCGCGATTTGAGTGTGTAGATGGAAGTTGCCTTTATCCAAACATAAATCAAACACGTTTGAAAATGCTGTGACAAGTGACATGGGATGGAGAAATAAACTACTTAAATTCAGGTCGAAATTCTAGTTATTCACCTATGGTCTGAGCGAGGAAACTCCCCATGGTACCACGTGGTGTTTAATAACACAAGCTGGAACATCTTGGGGATCCGAGTGTTATTGACTGGTGTGTAACCACCAGCAGTTGACGCCTCTCCAACAATTTGTTGTTTAACGCCGCACTCAGCAATATTCCAGCTATATGGCGGCGGTCTGTAAATAATCGAGTCTGGACCAGACAATCCAGTGATCAACAGCATGAGCATCGATCTACGCAATAGGAATATGATGACATGTGTCAACAAAGTAAGCGAGTCTGACCACCCGATCCCGTTAGTCGCCTTACAGGAAAATCAGGGGCCATAAATCCTGTTTTCTTATGCATTCCACTTCTAAATGCCCTTCAAAGATTTGGACCTTCGGACCTTCCCGAAGTAAAGCTGGGTCCCTGCACATTCCTTGTTTAGTCATTTTGCGATTCTGCCGAACCTCGGTTAACTCGAGATGCATAAACTTCGTACCATCCATGGGTTGGAGCATTAAAATGCTAGGATTTTCAGAGACTGTTTCGTTCACGTTATTTGAGGTTATTGTTATTGGATATTTATTAACTTTCCCGTTTTTCAGTTGTTGTATTTTTCAGATACATTTCAAGATTTCTATATGATTAATATTATATTTCAATAATCTTTTTCAGATACCGTTCAGGATTTATTAAGTGTGTTCTGCCTAAAGATGTCCAACCAACAGCAGTCAGCATCAGTGGGAATATTACTGCAGAGGCCCATAATATGCTGAGAGTTATCTACCCTTTGAAGAAGAAAAGACAGTTGACCAGATGTTTCTCAGCACTTCATTCCAATTTCAGCAACACTTTGCAGCTGATACAGACACTTGAAATCAGTCTCATGTTCGGTGTCGAACACTTCATTGTTTACAATTACAGTATACACGAATCTGCCATGAATGTTTTGAAACATTACAGTAATTTGGGAGTGTTAGATATCTTACCTTGGGATGTACCTGTAAACCGAACTGAGATTCATTATTTTGCACAACTTGCTGTTATTCATGATTGTCTATATAGAAACTTGCACGTCTCTGATTACATACTGACGGGAGACACGGATGAAGTCTACATACCTAAACGGGGTGGAAGCACTTTAGACATGATCGCTGACATCTTGAAAGGTCAGCCATCATGTTCTGGTATTCTTGTCCAAAATACCTTTTTCCCTTTGAACCTTCAACCTCATGTGGGGAATTTTACCCTGAAACAGGAAGCAAGAAGACTTGGTATCACTTATCTGTTGTACACAGGTCGTTTAAAAATCAACAAACCCGGCTATAGGTCAAAACTGATCATCAAACCTACGGGTGTTGAGATGAGTTATATACATAATATTGAACGTCTTCGGAGAGGACACACTGACTGCATATGTCCCTCTTCTCAGTGCATCCTTCATCATTACCGTGTTGTCCCGCCAAGACAGTGGGGTTCCCTCCAACAAACTGATGCCACATTGCTGAACTTACTAAGTGTGGACCAGACCATCTAGTGAACACGATCTACGCAATTGGGATACGATGACATGCATCAACCAAGTCCGCAAGCCTTACCATCCGATCCCGTTAGTCGCCTTTAAAAGACAAGAATTGCTGAAGATCAGTTCTAACCCGGATCTTCACGGGTCACATCGGGCATGTAGGATCGGGTGGTGACATCTTTTAATGTCATCTTTCACAATATAAAACAAACTCCGTTTACATGACAAGAATATCAATAAGGAACAGAGTGATTGTGTGGAATAAAAAGAAAAATTATTTGTATAAATCTACTTTAATCATTTGGCACATAGATATAAACAATTTCAGTGGAATCTTTTTGTTAAAAGAGAATTGCCATGAAATGAAACTATTCAAGCTCGTTATCCTCAATTAATTTCTGACTTTTAAGGAAATTTCAATATTACAGCAGAGGAATCCGATTGCTTTTCTTTCAAGAATAAAAAACGAGCCAGGGTCCCAATCCACAAGGTGTTCGTAGTGCTACGACATTCGTAAGCCTATGGTAAACTATAGGAGTTACGATAGGACGTTACGTTACGGGCGGTTTTGTGGATCGGGACCAGGTCAAGTAAATATTAGAAATGAAGGATACATAGCTCTCGATTTGAATATATAATCTGGCAAGATTTTAATCATCAAAAAAGGCAGTCTGGGTGGTCTTAGACATAACTGCCGCACTCAACTCTTGACATCCATCTGAAACAATCCTCAACTTCAAGACAATCGCGATTTGAGTGTGTAGATGGAAGTTGCCTTTATCCAAACATAAATCAAACACGTTTGAAAATGCTGTGACAAGTGACATGGGATGGAGAAATAAACTACTTAAATTCAGGTCGAAATTCTAGTTATTCACCTATGGTCTGAGCGAGGAAACTCCCCATGGTACCACGTGGTGTTTAATAACACAAGCTGGAACATCTTGGGGATCCGAGTGTTATTGACTGGTGTGTAACCACCAGCAGTTGACGCCTCTCCAACAATTTGTTGTTTAACGCCGCACTCAGCAATATTCCAGCTATATGGCGGCGGTCTGTAAATAATCGAGTCTGGACCAGACAATCCAGTGATCAACAGCATGAGCATCGATCTACGCAATAGGAATATGATGACATGTGTCAACAAAGTAAGCGAGTCTGACCACCCGATCCCGTTAGTCGCCTTACAGGAAAATCAGGGGCCATAAATCCTGTTTTTCTTATGCATTCCACTTCTAAATGCCCTTCAAAGATTTGGACCTTCGGACCTTCCCGAAGTAAAAGCTGGGTCCCTGCACATTCCTTGTTTAGTCATTTTGCGATTCTGCCGAACCTCGGTTAACTCGAGATGCATAAACTTCGTACCATCCATGGGTTGGAGCATTAAAATGCTAGGATTTTCAGAGACTGTTTCGTTCACGTTATTTGAGGTTATTGTTATTGGATATTTATTAACTTTCCCGTTTTTCAGTTGTTGTATTTTTCAGATACATTTCAAGATTTCTATATGATTAATATTATATTTCAATAATCTTTTTCAGATACCGTTCAGGATTTATTAAGTGTGTTCTGCCTAAAGATGTCCAACCAACAGCAGTCAGCATCAGTGGGAATATTACTGCAGAGGCCCATAATATGCTGAGAGTTATCTACCCTTTGAAGAAGAAAAGACAGTTGACCAGATGTTTCTCAGCACTTCATTCCAATTTCAGCAACACTTTGCAGCTGATACAGACACTTGAAATCAGTCTCATGTTCGGTGTCGAACACTTCATTGTTTACAATTACAGTATACACGAATCTGCCATGAATGTTTTGAAACATTACAGTAATTTGGGAGTGTTAGATATCTTACCTTGGGATGTACCTGTAAACCGAACTGAGATTCATTATTTTGCACAACTTGCTGTTATTCATGATTGTCTATATAGAAACTTGCACGTCTCTGATTACATACTGACGGGAGACACGGATGAAGTCTACATACCTAAACGGGGTGGAAGCACTTTAGACATGATCGCTGACATCTTGAAAGGTCAGCCATCATGTTCTGGTATTCTTGTCCAAAATACCTTTTTCCCTTTGAACCTTCAACCTCATGTGGGGAATTTTACCCTGAAACAGGAAGCAAGAAGACTTGGTATCACTTATCTGTTGTACACAGGTCGTTTAAAAATCAACAAACCCGGCTATAGGTCAAAACTGATCATCAAACCTACGGGTGTTGAGATGAGTTATATACATAATATTGAACGTCTTCGGAGAGGACACACTGACTGCATATGTCCCTCTTCTCAGTGCATCCTTCATCATTACCGTGTTGTCCCGCCAAGACAGTGGGGTTCCCTCCAACAAACTGATGCCACATTGCTGAACTATTCTGAAAACATTGTTAAACGGGTGATCGAGAGAATGGACCAATTAAACCTGGATAGAGGTACCAGTTCTATAAAAGTGTGAATGGTAATGTTCTGGGCATGTTTGTGTTCCTAATCAAACGAGGGAGTATGGCCGGAAAAATGTCGCCAAAAATCGAACTTAGGCCGTCAGCGTTAAGTGAGCGAGTGAGTGAGTGAGTTTCGTCTTACGCTGCTTTTAGCAATATTCCAGCAATATCACGGCTTCACACGTCTGCGTAAGGAGTAAAGAGCTGATCCGCTATAATACCTCTCCATCCGATCACTTTCCCCACGATCACTTTCCCCAACATATTACGGTGGATATAACAATGTGCCATGTGTGCGTGCGTGTGCGTGCGTGTGCGTGCGTGTGTGTTAGTGAATAGTTATCAAATTACAAACAGCAGCGAACATTGTTTTAGCATATGCCAGCATGTCTTTGATTAATAAAATGTTTCACTGACCTATCACTGTTCGTTGATCTTGTTTCGACTTTAGAAACCATGGAAAGTTGTAGCTCGTCATGCTACTTAAAATCATTCTGGTATACAGCGCGGAGAAATCAAAAAGAAATCAAGAAGAAATAACCATGACTTGTCGGGATTCGAACCGATACTGATATGATCCTGCGACACCCAAGGGAGGTAGCTCTTCACAGTGAATACGAGCTACGAAAAACGACAGGGACCACATTTAACATACAGGGTGTTTCATTGCATATGAAAAAGAAGAGTTTAATGTGACGCGTGACAGAACCGAAATTCACTCACTCACTCACGCACGCACCCATCCAAAACCCACCCACGCACTCACTCACCTCTAAAATCGGCCCAGCCACTCCTAAACATTTCCCACACAATGAACCGGTGACCTCTGTCATGTGCTAGTTGGAGTAAATCTCTCATGGAAGTGGGATGTCACAATGACCGGCAAAGGTACGTGATTACAAGTTACTTTGATTCTGTCATATCGATTTGGTTATATTGAAAGTGGTATAAGTGTAGCTATTGATAAGTATACGATAATTGTAAGGCTGGTGGTATCCTTCCTAGGATACTACCCTCAATAATGCTATTTTTCTGAAACTGTATGGAAAATAAATGCGTTTTGCGAGTCTGGACAAATTGCAGGTCACGAGATAAGACATGAGCTAAAGTGCTGTATTTCACACCACACTTCTCTAAAAATAAATAATGTATTTCTCTCAATAATACCAACGCATTTAGATTAGAATATAGAAAAAAGTTCGAATGTATTAATGCAACGTTGCATTAAATTGACTCTCGCGCCCTCTACTGGCCGAACATTATTTCAAGCTTTCTCATAGAGTTTTGTCCCTTATGTCTCATTGCGAATACCCTACGTACAACTTGTGATTGAAACCAGTTCGGCAAACACCGACAACACTGCGTGCGAGTCTTCGCTGTACGAAGCAACTGTTTACATTCCATATATGGCAAGTGTTTCAATTATCGATTTCAGGCAAGTCGTAAGGGATATGTCTTTTATTTATAAATTCTGACTGTGTTTCTCATAGTATTAATAATTTTACTATTTATTGTGCGACCCTGATTGTATTTCTGGGAGCATTACTTGTTCCCAATAACAATATCTTTCTGGACTGTCTCTTGGGATCAAAACTTGAGTGTGTGTCTCGTGGGTGCAATAACTTAACAAAATATTATGTAACCATGGTGTTAATGCTGAATATGTCTCGTGGATGTAATAACTTTGAGAAATCATTGTGTAACCATTGTGTTACGCCTGAATATGTCTCGTGGGTGCAATAACTTAAGAATATGTCTCGTGGATGTAATAACTTTGAGAAATTATTGTGTAACCATGGTGTTACGCCTATATGTCTCGTGGATGTAATAACTTGAGACATTATTGTGTAACCATGGTGTTACGCCTGAATATGTCTCGTGGATGTAATAACTTGAGAAATTATTGTGTAACCATGGTGTTACGCCTCAATATGTCTCGTGGATGCAATAACTTGAGAAATTATTGTGTAACCATGGTGTTACGCCTGAATATGTCTCGTGGATGTAATAACTTGAGAAAATTATTGTGTAACCATGGTGTTACGCCTCAATATGTCTCTCGGATGTAATAACTTGAGAAAATTATTGTGTAACCATGGTGTTACGCCTTAATATGTCTCGTGGATGTAATAACTTGAGAAATTATTGTGTTACCACGGTGTTACGCCTGAATATGTCTCGTGAATGTAATAACTTGAGAAATTATTGTGTAACCATGGTGTTACGCCTGAATATGTCTCGTGGATGTAATAACTTGAGAAATTATTGTGTAACCATGGTGTTACGCCTGAATATGTCTCATGGATGTAATAACTTGAGAAATTATTGTGTAACCATGGTGTTACGCCTGAATATGTCTCGTGGATGTAATAACTTGAGAAATTATTGTGTAACCATGGTGTTACGCCTGAATATGTCTCGTGGAAGTAATAACTTGAGAAATTATTGTGTAACCATGGTGTTACGCCTGAATATGTCTCGTGGATGTAATAACTTGAGAAAATTATTGTGTAACCATGGTGTTACGCCTCAATATGTCTCATGGATGTAATAACTTGAGAAATTATTGTGTAACCATGGTGTTACGCCTGAATATGTCTCGTGGATGTAATAACTTGAGCAGTTATTGTGTTACCATGGTGTTACGCCTGAATATATGTCTCGTGGATGTAATAACTTTAGAAATTATTGTGCAACCATGGTGTTACGCCTCAATATGTCTCGTGGATGTAATAACTTGAGAAAATTATTGTGCAACCATGGTGTTACGCCTGAATATGTCTCGTGGATGTAATAACTTGAGAAGTTATTGTGTAACCATGGTGTTACGCCTGAATATGTCTCGTGGATTCAGTAACTTGAGAAATTATAGTGCAACCTTAGTGTTAATCCTGAATATGTGTCCCGTGGGTGCCATAACTTCAGAAATCATTGTGTCAACATCTTTGTTTTAATCCTTAGTATGTGTTTCGTGGGTGCAATAACTTAAGAAATTAACGTGGAGTGAATTTTGACTGAGTGTTTGGGTTTTATACGTTCAGAGATCAATGCTTCTTAACAATACTGAGACTGGATATTCTCGAATGTTGATATTTATATCCCTGCAACAATGGTTGTTTACGAATCGTGGTTGATAGTAATCACCTGCTGTTCCATGTCATGTCTGTATTCCGTAGTTCACAGCTGTCCGTGCTTTGTTCGACTGGCTATTTGATATTGACTCGGTCACACAATTCAATCAAGAGGAAATCTAATTTGGTGCAATTATAAGAATTATTTAATTCCGAAAAAATAGTTAAAATTAGTTGCCTGAACAGGCGAATTATTATTTACAATTCCTTTCAGACTTAACAGTGTTTTAGTTCACAAAATTTCTTAACAAAAAAGCAGTTGATGTTAACCATTATCATCAAACCAGACTCGCATTGTTTTTACATAGGCCTTGGAGCTGTAGTATACGCCTTAAATACGAGACATATTCAGGTGGGGCATGGTGGGCGAGCTGGCTAAAGCGCCAGGCTAGTGATCCAGCGAGCATGAGGTGACCGGATCGAGTAAACCTGTGTGTGCAGAACTCTGTGCACTTAAAAGAACCCACGAATCCGTTGGTATATGACCAGATGGTGGCGACATGAATACGTGCAAACACCTAGTTGCGGGTACAGCAACGTGCAGTAAACTTGGACAAAGTACTGTGACTATGTGTCCCAGTCCACCCAGCTGTGAATGGGTACCTCGTACGGATGGGAAAGCCGCAATAACTCGGTGCGCCTAGTGGCTGCAAGAGTTGTATGATCCCCAGGGAGTTGAGATTGATAATAAGATAATAATAAAAAAACTACCAGCGCCTTGAGCATGCACTAGTGCGTGGATATGTGCGCTATATAAATATCCAATAATAATAATAATAATAATAATAATAAATCAATAAATATTTTTCCCTCCCAAGGTCTGCGGACCCGTGAAGATCCGGGGTAGAATAGGTCTTGCCACAAAAGGCGACTATGCTTGTCGTAAGAGGCGACTAACGGGATCGGGTGGTCAGGCTCGCTGACTTGGTTGACACATGTCATCGGTTCCCAAATGCGCAGTACGATGCTCATACTGTTGATCACTGGATTGTCTGGTCCAGACTCGATTATTTACAGACCGCCGCCATATAGCTCTAAACTAAACTCACTCACTTCCAAGGTCTGCGACCGTGAAGATCCCGGTTACAATTGGTCTTCAGCAACGCATGCTTGCCATAGGAGGCAACTAACGAGATCGGGTGGTCAGACTCGCTCATCATATCCCAATTGCGTAGGTCGATGCTCATGATGTTGATCACTGGATTGTCTGGTCCAGTCTCGATTTACAGACTGTTGCCATTAACAGGAAGTTTAAGTAAGTGAGTGAGTTTAGTTTAGCAATATTCTCGCAATATCACTGCGGGGGCACCAGAAACGTGCTTCACACGTTGTAGCCATGTGGGGAATCGAGCCCGGGTCTTCGGCGTGACGAGAGAACGCTTAACCACTGGGCTACCCCACCGCCCCTTTAAATGTGAAGAAACTGCATCAGTTCATATTGATAGAATGATGATCAGTATGCAAGTTTTCAATGTCATCAAATGATTGTGACAGTATCCAACGTGAGTTTGTCACAATGCATTGTGTTTTAGCAGAGCGGAATGCGGGTTTGAATGTTTCTCTTGCAATCTAGGTTTGTGCGAGAAAATTATATTTATAACATTTGAAATAAGGTTTTAAATACAAAAGCGTCAAAAATATTCCAAACGGTATGTACACACATGTAAACATCATGAATTTTGTTAATTGTCGCAATTCACCTACTCCTTTCAAACACCTCCTATTGATCCGTTGTTTGATAGTTGAAGGTATACTGAAACATATTGTTATTATGTTTCTCAACTTCCAGACAACAACAACAATAATAAGACGTACCTCACATCCGACAATTGCAATATTCCGTTGGACATGTATCCTCCGATCCACATTTGATAACAGCATGTGATACTTTACCAACTTACCTAATACCTTAACGGAAAAAACGAGGTGTTCGTGCATCTTGCCGTGTTGCATAACCGTTACACACAACTGATTCACTTCCAGCACTGAATCCATGTTTCCGTGGGGGCGGTGGGGTAGCCTAGTGGTTAAAGCGTTCGCTTGTCACGCCGAAGACCCGGGGTCGATTCCCCACATGGGTACAATGTGTGAAGCCCATTTCTGGTGTCCCCCGCCGTGATAGTACTGATCTTACTGACATATTGCTAAAAGCTCACACTTACACTCACTCATGTTTCCGAGTGAGTGGGTCTGATTTTTAAGGGTGGGTATTGAAGAGAATATTTATATTGCGATGTATTGCGATGTGAAAGCATGTATTGCGATATGTATTGCAATATATTGCATGAAGTATTTCTAAACAAAACACTACTATAATCGAGTTACTGATTGATTTATAGAGCAAAAACACAACAAAATCACTATGCTTGATTAAGCTTTAATAACAAATTTTAATCATGATAAAATAAAAATGTGACTAATATTTGGCACAAATGAAACAAGGAAATACCCGAAGATTTCCGAGTGTTACGACGTTTTCCGAATGCAAGTCAAAATACCGGTTTTCGATCAGCGTATCGCAATACGTATCGTTCTCATGTCTGAACCGGTAAATACCGGTAAACCGGTTATATTGCGCAGCCCTACTGATTTTACGCCGCTTATAGCAATATTCCAGCAATACCATGGCGAGGGACACCAGTCATAGGCTTCACAGATTGTACCCATGTGGGGAATCGAACCCGGGTCTTCGGCGTGACGAGAGAACGCTTAACCACAGGGCTACAGACCGTCCCCAATGTTTCCGAAGCTAATGCAGTGAATCTTATATAGAAGTTATCTAAGTTACCTGCCACGTGATGACTTGCGAAACCAACAAAACTAGTGATTGACATAAAGAACATCGATCTGACCAAGTCAGTGAGCCTGACCACCCGATCCCGTTAGTCGCCTCTGGCGATAAATATAGGTTGCTGATGACCATATTCTGGATTATTGCTGAGTACGGTGTTAAAAATCGACAAACAGTTGTATCATGTTGGATTGTTTGACATGACGCGGTATTAAGATAAACGAGTCGCCAACCCATTTTCATGTATTCTTACGGGATCGGGTGGTCAGGCTCGTAGTCTTGGTTGACACATGTCATCGGTTCCCATTTGCGCAGATCGATGCTCATGCTGCTGATCACTGGATTGTCTGGTCCAGACTCGATTATTTACAGACCGCCGCCATATACCTGGAATATTGCTGAGTGCTGCGTTAAACTAAACTCACTCACTCATGTATTCTTAGATGTGTTTAAATCACGCAGCAAATCTAGATGCCTCAGACAATTGGCTTATATGGTATCGCCTTTTTACATGAATTTTCGTTGTTCTTCACAGAATTTATCATCTGCCTGATTCTCTATCTGGCGAGGGACGTCACAGGGGACAACTGTCCTGTCACAAATAACCCGGATGTTAAATACTTTGACATCCGCATACCGGAAATAGAAGTCCCGGACTCGGAAACAACCTATGTTTGTCAACAGTTCAAGGTTATTGCTTATACAAAGTAAAGGCTGGTCTTACTTCATGTTCAAATTATTGCTTTATATCATATCACCTATTTTGATTATTTTGTGTTTGCTTTGAATTTCTTTGGTAAACTCGTTTGGACGATGTTTTAAATCTCCCCAGGAATCATGGAATTCAATACGATTGTTCCAAACCGCGACGGGCCACTTTCGTCAAGGCTGAATTTAAGGATATTCAATTTAATTATTTTTTTTAAATTCAAGGCATTATGATAACTTCTACCTTTGTGGACAGTTTTTACAAAAAAAACATCTCACTCTTTCTTTGTTTGAGTAACGTAATTTAAGGCATTATGCCCATTTAATTCAATTTCTTTTACTGTTATATGTACAGGTTCCCGATGAGGAGACATACCACGCTGTGGCCTTTGAGCCCTTGATCGACAACCATGACGTCATGCACCACCTGCTTCTGTTTGGCTGCCAACACGAGATTGGGGACATGGTGAGACTTAAACTCACTTTATACAGAGCAGTGAGTGAGTATGGTTTTACTCCGCTTTTAGCAATATTCCACCAACATCACGGCGGGGGACACCAGAAATGGGCTTCACACAATATACCCATGTGGGGAAACGAACCCGAGTCTTCAGAGTGACAAGCGAACACACTAACCACTAATTATATAAGCTACCACACCGCTGCATAATGAACTTACTGATTCAGATAAGTCAGATTGTTAGATTTAGACCTGTATATTTGGAGCAGTATTTCTTGAAACGCATGCTGAACTTGTATTCATTGGATACTCAATAGCCTTGTATCTTTAGTGGACATCTAACAGACACTCGTCCTATGATACAAGCTCTGAATGCAACAGATGATGAAAGTTAAAAGCCTTTTCTGTGATGACGGTGTATAGGGGAAACCAACAGTTACTGCATTCAAGTAAGAAATCTTGAGGAACAGACTGAAACAACACTTGTCATATTCTTTTCGTGACTGAGTATGGTTTTACGCCGCTTTTAGCAATATTCCAGCATTATTGTGGCGGGGAACACCTGAAATGGGCTTCACACATTGTATCCATGTAGGGAATCGAACCCTGGTCTTCAGGTTGACGAGCGGACGCTTTAACCACAAGGCTACCCGACCGCCCCTTCTTGTCGTGAGGTACAGCTGACAAATTTGCTTACAAGGATATATCTCAACATTAAGTATAGGTATATTTACCGGATATCACCACGCTTGTGGGGTTTCAAATCTGTACATGTCAGAGATCTGTTATTCTATGGAAACCCGAGAAAAACCGAAGAATGAAAACTATAGGTTTGTTGTAGTAACCAGGTAAATGTGGGACTCATGTTTACACGTTTAAACATTCTCAAGCATCAGGTAAACTTTACAAAAAGTGCATATCCATCACAGCGACTTGTTCAAACCAAACAGATTGTGAATGACAATTGTGCTTTGTTGTTAGTTTTTCTGTATGGCGGCGGTCTGTAAATAATCGACTTTGAACAAGACAATCCAGTGGTCAACAGTATGAGTATCGATCTACGCAATTGAAATGTCAGTGACTGTTTCCAATTGTTTGATCGGTATTCTAGAAGTTGGTGAGTCAATAATAACACATACATCCTCGTGGATAAGAACTTCTTGTTTATTGAAAAGAGCGACGTTTCGGTGTAGATTCTTACACTGTTTTCAAGATTCCACCGAAACGTCGCTCTATGCAATTAACAAGAAGTTATCCATAAAGACGTATGCATTATAAACTTTTAGTGTCAACACAAGTAGAACTAAACCATATTATTTTTTCCACCTAAAATTTTGATAACACAGCTAATTTACCTAGGATCGACTATTACATAATGTGGTGGTGGATGTCGGTGTGAGGAGGATTTGTATGTTGATAGACATTTATGTATGTGAATCATTTCTTTAAAACAATCATAAGTGTTCATGACGCTACTGTTTAGTCAAACATGTAAAGGAGGTCCACAACTTAACACCGGGCGGTGGGGTAGCCTGGTGGTTAAAGCGTTTGCTCGTCACGCCGAAGACCTGGGTTCGATTCCCCGCATGGGTACAATGTGTGAAGCCTATTTCTGGTGTCCCCCGCCGTGATATTGCTGGAATATTGCTAAAAGCGGCGTAAAACTAAACTCACTCACTCACTCTTTAAACAGGTTATTATGACCTTGACATGCGTGACCTCGAGGACTCTCCTGTGATGCTGGGGATGAAGACCTCCACAGTACCCTTCATTGTCGAGAATGCCGATTCATGAAGATATGTTTTTACAACGTGACACTGATTTAAGCGTCATCGTTGCTCATGCTATCGTCCCTCGGTTTACCCGATGACGGCTTGATTACTGAAATTGTACTTCTAGCAGCAAGAAACAAGATCAGCGTCGAGCTCTATAAAGCTGACGAGCTACGATGCAACGGATACAACGTCCCCCGCCGTGATATTGTTGGATTGCTAAAAGCGGCGTAAAACTAAACTCACTCACAACTTAACACCATACACACAAATGCTTGGGGAGGTGTATCCACATGTTTAGTAGTACTATGGAAGTTTCACGTTATATTTACATTTACACTGTCCGTTTACGACCCTTACACTGTAACCCCATAAACTCTTGTGAATTTAACGGATGGCAATTTAACGAAATGATTGACGGTGAAGTCTTCATTACACGTGGCAAGATTTCAGCGGCCTGTGGTAAAGTGGATCCTTATGCCATATGTTACTCATTACTTCATTACGTCACTGCTGCACAATAACAAATCAATATACTGTGATAACATTACCGAACCAATGAAATATATACTCATTTCTGTCAATGTGGTTATATTCCATTTACCTGTGACCGAACATATAGGAGAGTAAATCTCAACCTTGTCATTCACTAGGTAATAGGTATTCAAACCTGAGTCCAAGAATTACATTTACAATGAATTTCATATTGACATATTTCAACCCCTCTATCATAGTTTGAAATCTCTTCTTTTTAACGAACCCGTGAAGATCTGGGATAGAATTGATCCTCAGTAGCCCATGCTTGTCGTAAGAGGCGACTAACGGGATCGGATGGTCAGGCTCGCTGACTTGGTAGACACATGTCATCGGTTCCCAATTCGTAGATCGATGCTCATGCTGTTGATCACTGGACCGCCGCCATATAGGTGTAATATTGCTGAGTGCGGCGTAAAACTAAACTCACTCACTCACTCTTTTAAATGATAAATGCAAATATGGCGGCCAAAATGAAAGGTACATTTCAAACGTTAGGTATATGGGCATCGGGTGATACATTCACTTCCTGGAATCCATACATTGGAAAAATATCCTTTGGTGTGGTGTTTGGAGTGAGTGAGTGAATACTGAACATGACATCAGCAATAGTTCAGCCATATCGTGACAAAAGCAAAGTTGACGATAAGGAATACATGTATATTATAAAACATGTCGTCATTGGACAGTAAAACAACTAGAGTATCACAGTTAGGATTAAAACCTGCATGTAACGTTACAATCATCGCACTATTCAAACTGTACACCGGGCGGTGGGTAGCCTAGTGGCTAAAGCGTTAGCTCGTCACGCCGTAGGCACGGGTTCGATTCTCCACATGTAGGTACAATGTGTGAAGCCCACTTCTTGTGTCCCCCGCCCTGCTATTGCCGGGATATTGCTAAAAGCTGCGTAAAACCACTCACTCACTCAAACAGTACACAATATACAAACAGGCTATAGATCGCCAGCAACGAAGGTAGATCACCATACTTGGGGCCATGGGGACTTACAGTATACTTTTGCTTCCTGAAATGGACCCTAGCCGGCTTTACACCATCCCTCAAGCCGTAGACGCTAGGGTTTAGAATAAGCCATAACTTAAAATGACACTTTTGCAATGATTAAAACTTACTTGATGAAAATTTGCTTTGAATCTTTTGGGACTTACGTATCCTCTCAGGAGGACACTTATTTTACAATACTTTAACCACCTTTGAGGATACAGCATCTAACAATCTCGGTAGCTTATCTAATCTATCAATTAAAACATAAACATATGAACTTAAAGGGAACTCATCCAGAGCAATTTTCGTGGACTGGTTGCTTTTGTTATTGTTTTCTCCCGTGAGTACCCGGATGATATCCCAGAATTCTTGACTGGTTCGTGACCTCTGCTGCGCCACCCAAATGCGCAATTGATAGTATATGTATAGACTGATCAAAAAAGATCTTTTTTATTCGATAATATTTCCATTTTCATTATTATGATAACAAATGAAAACATATTGATGTTTAACCATTTGCAAGTGGTAAAACATGTTAGGACTGAAAAATAACGAAGTCAATGTATGTCTATATATTTTATCTTATAATCCTAATTAGTTTATTATCATATTTGTATTCATTTTGAAACACGATCTGCTTATACTTATAGTGAATGTATAAAATGACTGTAATATCTAGACATTTTATTGATTGCCAACGCGAATCATATTCACACACACGCCCTAAGTGCGACCTAGTGTATGCTGTCTGTGTCATTATATTTCACGACGAAAAAATGATTCTGTTGAATGCTACAACAAATGAATAAAAACAAAATGCAAATATTAAACTTAAAACAGACTAAAGTTATAGCAACAATGTCAGGCTATTACCTTGTTCGAGGAATGTATCCATCAATATCCACATAAAGGAACGATATGCCATTCATCTGCAGCTGACAAAGAATCCCGTTCCATGTGATGTGTCTTTTAACAGTCTAATATGTGAAAAAAGTTATATATCGTTTTAAGTAATGGTAGTTTCTCAACTGATCACATGACTGTTTCAGGTTTTTTCACACTGGTGTATAGTCCCATTGGTCACCCAAGATAGCACACCTGGCAACGAACTGCATGATGTAATTTAGTTAGCCAATAATGAGCAATCAATCAACGTATTGACGGTTAATCCATTGAAGGAAGGGTGTTCTTACACAGGCACTTTACGACAGGGTGTATTCAGTATAGATTAGTAAACTACATACATAAACCCTACCTTTTGATATATCCGCTGTGCAAGATGAAAGCAATTACTTATTCAGAGTGTTATCGGTTAATCCTTTGATCGATGTTTGTTTTTGTAACTCAGCTGATAAGTCCTCTTGCTGCACTTCCATGCGCATATTAGATAACATGTAATACATACCTTAATTTAATAATGTTGAGTATTTACTCCAGACACGAGAAATGCCAAATGGGAACCTTTGCCGGGTAATCTGAGTGGTGTTATACCTGTCATATATTCATTAACTGACCATCAAGTGAATGATGACACATAACATGTGTAGGTTCACCAATAAAAACAAGGGTTACAGCACGAGAGTAGTAATTGCTGTATTGCATGCAAGTTTGATTGCCTGAAAAAACAACAACTTATGGCCAACACTGTTTTGAGGATGCGAACGGAACTTCATTATTGCATAAGAAATACATATAAGCATTTGCTGTGTAGTTAGTTAAAAACTCGATATACCTATTTACGTAAGTAAATTTTCAGATTTTTCTAGCAATGGCAAATTAGGGTTGTTTAGATTACGGATTCAAATACATCAAATTTGTGTTTTTATTATCACGGCATAGGTAACAGACATAATATTTTTACAGGACATAATTAAATATCGAGGTAAAAAGCACAGAAATAGGATCAAATTGGACCGGTCATTATACCATCCAGGCATTAGAAAAGCCAACACTGCTAGGGTACTACAATCAGACAAGAACTGTAGGGGATATTTTCAAATAACGGCATCTGATGGGCATCCACCCTTCCTAATGTCCCACTGTTTAGGTTGAAGAAATTCTGGTATTCGGAAAAAAATAAAATGAAAAAAATAAATGATTTTTGCTCGGTAAAAAAGAAAAAGGAAAAAAGAAATACTTTTTTCATACTTTATTACGTGTGCATCTCATACTATATCATAATAAGCAAATTTTGGTATTTGTGCAACAATCTGTGCTGGCTTGTCATGGGAAGAAGAGGCTTGCTTTCTCATCTTAACTCGACACTTGATTTTTTAGAGCACTTCCACCAGCTTTTGGTCTTTGAGGCTGATGTTTTGGTATACATGTATCCATTCCAGCATAACTTCTTGCCATCCTTGTTACTCTCTATCACCTCCATTTTCATAATGACACTAAATGCACTTCTTTACTATTCTTTACTATTTTATACATTCCCAATGAACAGCCAATGAGAAGCCAAGAAAACTCATTAGCTACTCAGCTACTCACCAATTACTTAAGAGTCCCATAATGTCTTGATTAACTGGTGCATGTTGATACAAGAAACAGGTTCCCTTGTAGAATACCTAACATCAAAGACCACAATCCCAGCTGGATACTCATGGTTATACCACTACTTATACTCGTTAGACAAAATTTTGGTGAGTTTGTTTTGCCAATTTTACATACACCAATTTCCCCCATTTATTTCTTTTTTTCCTTTTTCCCCTTACTTTTTTCCGCTTTCTTCTTTTCCTTTTTCTTTTTATCCTACATTCGAAATTCTGCCATGATGGACAGTAGCCCAGTCCCCATGTCCGCCACGGTCGAGGGAGCAGGTAGTGACCAGCCTGCATCTTGGCTTCGTAATTAGACTCTTGGCTAGATACATTAATCGCTCTGGATCAGTGCCCCTTTAAGTGTAACGAAGGCTTTCATTGGCTGGTTCACTTGCCGCTACACTCAGGGCTGTTTGCGTATAAAGCTGTTGGGTTTTGTAAATAATACATGCTCATTTTTTGTCTGTAACATTTTGCAATCAACAGACACCATATCATGTCATGTGTACAAGTATCACACCAGCCTGTCTGTGTAATTACATGTGACAGACAGAATGAAGGTGCACGAGCCATAAATCAATGTATTTTGTTTATGGTGTATAGCCTGATAGGTGTTAAGTTCAAATTGCATGTGGTCAGTGATCGAAGTTGTGTATTGCTTATTGTCATTAGCAGACAGGCAGGCAGACACATAGGTGTCAATAAAACAGACTTTGAGTTTTGTCTGTGACAAAGACATATCTATATCACAGTTAGAAATTCTGACAATGCTAAATAATGACGTTGATGTTAAGTATTGAACTGAGAAAGTGACTCGGTAAGAAGAACGTGTGGTGAAATAATCAAATGAAATTATATAAACAGTTAAATCGGTAGTCTCCTGTCATAACATATAAAAAAGCTCGTGACTGTGAAATATCAACAAAACATTAGGAAAATAGCTCACATCAAAGAATACTCCGAGTACTCACCGCCAGCGAAGGTTTTCCGTCTTGAAACGTCGAACGCCTCACTGGTTGACACATAGCTGAGTAGATCTAGATCCTTAACAATGTTCTTTTTTGTAACGAGTAGATTATTTACTACTTATTTTTTGTGTACACAGCCAAGATTAGACTACTCCTGCTCACGACCTTATAATCCGGACTTCCCGCTTCCAAGCTGCGCGAACCTATTCACTGCGCATGCGACATGAGCGCGGTGCAGCGCAGCACAGCTGTTGAAACCACTTTTCACCCAAGCTGGGGTGAATTTAATGAATCGTTTGAACTCCCATTTCGCGTTATTTTTCAACTTTATAAGTTGAATTTGCATTTTTGACCGTTTGTTACTGTAAGTCCATACCGAAAGGTATCAGAATCTGCAAATTGTGTTTTACATTGCATGTCACCTTTAAAAAAGCAATAATTAAACGAAAACTGACATTATTAAGAAGGTCCTTCGTAGACAATGCTTTGAGATAGTTATCCCGTTTTAATCACAAGGGACACAGAATGGAGGATACTCACCTCAACAAATATTCATGAGTATATACTGAGTATATCTAAAATTGCCAATACGACATCGTCTTAATGTGACCTCTACAAATCTGGACTGACAGTGTATGGACATTCCCTTCATCTCAAAAGATAAATATGGTCCACACTGCTTCCATCTCAACTCCTTTGAAATTCCATAAATTTGTTTCAGTAGAATCCTCATCAGTGTAGTGGTATCGACCAAAGATGCCAATCTTGGTTGGCGCAGTGGACCATGGGAGTTGAGGGACAGGTGTGCGCGCATCCAGGAACTGGCATCCGGTTTGGGAAAGGCTCATATCCCTTCATGTCTCTACAGATACACTGGAACAACGCGCGGAGGGTACAGAACATGACAGGTATTTTTCAACCATGTTGGCCCAGTTGCCGATGGCGCCGTACATTCGATGAACAGAGTTGTGGCCCCTTGCGGTGGCATAAACCTGTGATAGATCGTTGTGATTCGAGGTTTGCACCATATGCATGCTCACTGGTTAGACCAAAGCTCTAAACGTCTAAGGCTGCTCTCATCACTTATCACTGGTTCAGAAATGTGTTTCAAGGAGCTTTGAACTGAGTCCACTCACTCATTCAATAGCTACAATTACATCTCTATTTCGCGTTTGTTAATATGCGTATCCAGACGCACAGAGGCGCACAAAGATCGTGACAGACACTTTTAGAAAGGTTTTGTGACAGAGTACACATGTACCTGAAAACGTCTAAAAGCTTCGTAAAACCCATCTCACTCACTCCATACCATTCAAAGCTGGAATTCAAACGAGTGAGTGAGTGAGATGGGTTTTACGCCCGGTTCAGCAATATTCCAGCAATATCACGGCGGGGGACACCAACAATGGTCTTTATACATTCTAGCCATAAGGGGAATCAAACCCGGGTCATCGGCGTGACGAGTAAACGCTTTAACCATGAGGCTACCCCACCGCCCCTGGAATTCAATATAAACTGACGTACAAAAGAAAGTACACACCTGGTGTTTTGAGATTATTTGAAAAGTGTTGTGATTTTGGCTGGCAACTTTGCAATTTGGCACGATATCTGTGGTGTTTTGGCAACATATTATGAAAGTCTGTGACTTATATACCACTGTAAAAACTCTTTTCAAAACATTTTCGTCGCTTTTGGGAAATGGAAAGTGATCCAAAAGCACCGGGTGTGTACTTTCTTTTGTACGTAAGTCTATGTCTAACCGTTTCTGTTGCATACGTCATTGATCACAAATTTCAAAAACAATAAAGGAAACGTGATACACTCAAACCTGATAACCGTGAAGATTGATCTTCAGCAACCCATGCTTGTAAAAGGCAACTAATGGAATCGGGTGATCAGGCTCATTTCATCGTTTCCCGAAATGCGTAGATCAATGCTCATGGTGTAAATCACCGGATTGACTGGTCGAGACCCAATCATTTACAGACCGCCACCATATAGCTAGAAACTTGCTATGAGTGGCATTAGACGCAAAAACATATCTTACTTACATGTACCTACATAAAGTTCAGACTTAAGATGTATTTCGTCTCATTTCAGATAATTCGGGCATGCGCGTATACTACACCCGGATGTTACGTCGGTATGATGCCGGGAACGTTCAAATTGGCCAGAGTGACCTTGACATTCCTCCTGGAGTAACCAATCATCTTGAAGTTGGTGGTTGTAGCGGAAACTGTACTAAAAACCTCCTGCCGTATTCAGTCTTCCTCACTAGAACATACATACACATGCATTATCTTGGTAGGTATGTTTGTTAGTTTTCCCGATCATATCATCTGAACCATCTTCAGCATTTTGCTTTGTTTTGCTTTGCTTTATGGCGGTCTGTAAATCTCGGGTGTGGACCAGACAGTCCAGTGATTGACATCATGAGCATCGATCTACGCAGTTGGGAAGCAATGACAAATGTCACCCTGAGATGGACACAGATCTAGGCGATTTGATTGGTCGAGAGCTTGCGACTTGAAGTAGGAATTAGGACAAATCCTATGTCTTACTATTCAGCTGCGACTAGTTGTATGCGACTTCAAATCGTTACGATTTGGGTGTTCTCACGTTGCAACTGTGCTGCATGCGACAAGTTGTTACTACAAGTCGCACCGTGAAAACACGCCTTTAACCACAGGGGCTGGTATTGCTGAAAATAATACGTTTAGGTTCAACACTCGTTCACTGATAGCCGTCTAGAAAAAGGTTTTATATGTAGATGGCTATCAGTGAACGAGTGTTGGACCTAGGACGTATTATTTTCAGCAATACAAGTCACTGTGCCTTTAATGATACCCAACATACCTATATAATCTAACTAGTAATAATACGCTGAATGTCTCATGTTCACTCCTGTGAGGTGAGGTGAGGTGAGGTGAGGTGAGGTGAGGTGAGGTGAAATTGGGTTTAACGTCGTGCTTGAGAATATTTCGCTCTTATGACGACGTGCAAGCGTGCGGCTGCTTGTACTAGCCCAGACTGAAACTGGTTTTATAGTGCTAGCCCACTGAGATACCATGCCGCAGTGAAGCATGAATGCCCCACTCAAACACGTTATACTGACTCCGAGCCGACCAGTCCTTGTTGTACCCATTAATGCCAAGCGCCAGGCAGGTATCATATTTTAACGTCTTTTGGTATGACGCGGTCGGGGATCGAACCCGCGACCTTCCGCTCTCCGGGCGGACGCTCTAACCACTACACCACGGAGGCGGTCTTGTTTCAGGGGTGCGAGGGGTACTCGAGGTGTACCGAGACGGGAAGCTCATGCAGACTGTCGCTGATGACGCCGACTATCAGTATCAGCTGTCGCCCATCCACGTGCACAACACACCCGTGGAAATAAAGCCAGGTGATTGGAGTTCTATTTTGTGAGTAAGGTTGGTTGGTTGGTTGTTTAAATATTCCTGTTATATGGCGAAAGTCTGTTAATGGACGAGTCTAGATCAGACAACCCAGTAATCAACATCATGAGCATCGAACTACGCATTTGGGACACAATGGCATGTGTCAACCAAGTCAGCGAGCCTGACTACCCGATCACAGGTCCTCGTGTCTTTGCGAGGATTAAATTCTTTTTAAAACATCATTAAAAAAACTACATAATGATGTATTGTACTATGAAGTATTTCGAGTCGGGGGTCATCTCAAAAACAATATGTCTTAAATCTTTAATCCTCGCAAAGACACGAGGCTATCTGCACCCGATCCCGTTAGTCGCCTTTTACGACAAGCATGGTTTGCTGAAGATTAGTTCTTACCCCGTTCTTCATGGGTTGTGAGTAAGGGAGTTTAAAGCCTCTTTGAGGGGAAACAAATAAGGGAACACTACTTCATGGCAATGTTCTTTCATTTATTCTCATATTTCCTCCCACAGCGCTATTCAAAGCTAGTGATTTAAACTGGAAAATATCAAAGGAACACTTGAATTTTCTTATGTTCCTTCATTTGTTTCTTTCAGTATATATACTGGTGAAACCCACCAGCACAGACATTCCCATGATCGTAGTCTTGGAAAGTGTGAGATTTGAACCCACGACTATACGGTTCCTGTAACTTGTACCACTTGGCCATCCGAGCCTGCTGCAAACCACCCATAGTCCGACCCCGTTAATCCAGAATTCACGCTTCATTTGATGGGAACTCCATTGTAAAACTAAAGACACTGTGACATTACATTTCGTTTTTCCGGAATATTATTTTCCTGAAAAATGGACGATTTGCCTGATATTGTTAACGGGTTTTCACTCTGTATATTGAATGGTACTGGTCATTTGCGTCTGTTTGCATTGTTGAATGGGTGGCAGTATTTCGGATCATTCCTTTCAGGAGACGAGATGCGACTCACATGTTACTTTGACACGAAAACAGGAGACAGACTCCGAAATCATCCCGTGTACTTTGGTGAAGGATCAAGCGTAAGTCGGTGATTGAGTATCGTGTTATTACGCCTTTAGTGAGTGAGTGAGTTTAGTTTTACGTCGCTTTTAGCAGTATTACAGCAATATCAGGGCGGCGGGCGGACAGAAACGGGCTTCACGCTTTCTTATCATGCGGGGAATCGAACCCAGAACCCATGTGTCAACCAAGTCAGCGATTCTGTCCACCCGATTCCGTTAGTCGCCTCTTACGACAAGAAAGGGTTACTGAAGATCAATTCTAACCCGGATCTTCACGGGTGAAAATTGTTTGAATAGATCACTGAAAATTAGTTGTGACACAGGGTGTTTGTGACACATAATCTTTTCAACATTTTAGTCGGAGATGTGTTTTGCCTTCGTGACCTACTACCCACGTGTAGACGAGCTGAATCAGTGTGTCCAGTTTGCTGAGTATGACGTGTGTGGTCAGCAAGGAGGTATGTTATGCCCTAATGTTTTTTACGACGATATTCAACTTGTTCTTGGAATGGTCTTGAAATGATGATGAAATGTGAAATACTTGCATGAAAACTATCAGACAATACAAATGTTACAAATGCTACAATCAGGGTTACACTTTCCTGTAAATTCCAAATTATGGTACCTTTGGAGATTCGAACCTACGGTCCCAGGGTGGGGCGCCAGAGAGTCAGCACACAAAATCAGCAATCTAACCTTCTCAGCCACCGTGGCAATAATGGGTCCAAACCTGGTAGTCTGCATCACGTACTTTGTGTACCCCCATCGCCGAATTTAAGCTGACCCCCCTCCGTAGTGTAGTGGTTAGAGCGTCCGCCCGGAGAGCGGAAGGTCGCGGGTTCGATCCCCGACCGCGTCATACCAAAAGACGTTAAAATATGGTACTTGTTGGTCCCTGCCTGGCGCTCGGCATTAATGGGTACATCAAGGACTGGTCGGCTCGGAGTCAGTATAATGTGTCTGAGTGGGGTATTCATGCTTCACTGCGGCATGGTATCTCAGTGGGCTAGCACTATAAAACCAGCTTCAGTCTGGGCTAGTACAAGCAGCCGCACATACACATACACACGCATGCACGTCGTCATATGAGCGAAATATTCTCAAGCACGACGTTAAACCCAATTTCACCTCACCTCACCTCACCGAATGTAAGCTATGAGTGAGTGAGTTTTGTTTTACGCAGCTTTTAGCAACATTCCATCAATATCACGACGGGTCACCAGAATTGGGCTACACACATTAAAGCTATAAAAACACCATACATCTCTTAGAAAGGTCAAATGTGACAAATGTTATATTTGGGATTATAATTTGCTTGTAAAGAACCAATCGTACTTTTAGGTTTAGTCCACACCGGTACTATGAAGAGCATTGTTGTGAGAATGAAAATGAATGATATAAATCTTGTCAACATTCCCTCGGAAGATGAATAAGCTGAAAAGTTGCATTCCATTCGGTTACAGGTAAACCCGTATCAAAAGTAATTTGGAGCAATGAAGAATTGCCTCACTGAATTATTTTGTTATAACTCCAGATGCGTGATGGCACGATGAGCCATATTTTACTGACGCTTCACATTATGATTATTTGTAGACATTCATTTCAAAATAGGCAACTCCGACAAAATGATATTCTAAGGGATAATCATATGTATTTTACATACATTATAGGATATATTTTCAGAGATAGGCTCCTAATTAAGAAGAGTATGGCTACCTGGCCACGACTTTCTAGTTTTGTACAGTAAAATGTGTCGACAGATTATTTCTACGACTTTACTGTAAATATTGCTAGCCATTGAAAGCCATTTAGAAGTTGGATGAACATGAATACATGACACGTTTTATTGATAACAACTTTTTATTCTTTACACGACGTTTCAGAACTAATTCGTCCTTCATCAGGTGAAATCAGGAATTAGCTCTGAAACGTCGTGTAAAGAATAAATTCACCGCACCCCATTTTTCCATACGCACTCTCTTGGAAAACGTGCAATATATTGGTGATGATAGAATTAATGATTGGCATTACATGACAAACATATTGTAAGACAAAATTCTATGTTTATTCCTAGTACGAGCTACGTACATGTATCTTCTTAAAACACATACTACTGATAACTTCGATATTTTATGCGGATTATTTATTTGGACTCCAGTGAAATAAAGCTGGCACATCCAATGAACATTGTCTTCTCATCGCTAGCAACTAACACAGAACGGGATCCCATACGCACGCGTACATGATTACTACCGTTACGGACACCGAAAAATCAGACGCACGACATGTGAAAATTGTTGCAATCTTGCCTGAAACGTAATTTGATTTGAAAGAGATACGATTTTCGTGACAGTAGTTTTGGAAACAAAAGAAGTAATCTGCAGCGGGTTGGGTCGTCCGAACAAAGAGACATGATGTGTAAGCTGTTTGAACTAATTTCAAAGTTCATTTCAGAAACGTCATATGGAGACTGCACATTTCCTCAGTTTTTCGGAGAGGCCAGAGAGCTTCGTATTCCGGACATCGTTGAACATTGTCGGAATGTGACGAAGGAATCCGAGTGCCAGTCGGAATGCGGGAGAAGTTTGGAAAGCATCCGCCGACATCCATGCATGAAGGTATTTTCCGAGAGAGTGAGTGAATTTAGTTTTACGCCGCTTTTAGCAATATTCCAGCAATATCACGGCGGGGTACACCAGAAATGGGTTTCACACATTGTATCCATGTGGGAAATCGAACCCGGGTCTTCGGCGTGACAAACGAACGCTTTAACCACTAAGCCACCCCACCGCCCCAGTTATTTCCCGAAACAGGGTTGGGCAGGGCAGTGAGAGATTTGGGGTGGTGGTGTGTGTTTGTCCCCGAGGAAGGTTGTGTGTTGCATCTGTGTCATGAAAAGCATAATCACTGTTGTATGTCACATCGTCATGTACCATTCTAAAGATATTGTTGTAAGAATGAATATGTATTGAATATTTTGCGCGTGATTAAATTTTGTGAACATTCCCTCGGTCGGTGAGTCACCGGAACGAGTTGTCTCCCTTAGACCGTCAACCACATCATTCACGCAAACGTCCCTGCACCGCTAAGTTTTAGATCCTGAAATATCAAAATGGTTAAGCCAACTTCACTTTAGATTTTGGAAAAGTCAATTAAAAATTCTTCAAATTTGTCATTTGTAACGTAATGTTATCAAAATCCTTTTATGAATTCGGTATCACATTTAAGCAAACTTATGATCTCTGTTACCGAATTTGACCATTTCGTTTGGTTCGTTTATTATTTAAAGCCGCACTAAGCGGTTTTAATGCTTTAACGACGGCGGTAATTATCGAGCCTGGACCAGCCAATTAAGTGACTGACATCATAAGCATCGGTATAGGTAATTGGGACACAAATTATGTACACTAAATTCCACACTATACATGAGAACGAAGCTGTGATGCCGTCATCGGAAAAGTTATGACCGAAGGATCTCGTCATCGGTTACCCCTGTCTGTCACCTGCAATTTGGCTGTGGAACGACACGAGAGCTCAAGCAATCTAACCCATTCGCCAGGAGCGAAGCTACCATTATTAAAAAAAGCCCGAGCTTACACATGATTGTCGCTAAAAAGGTTGGGCAGAGCCCTCAATACTATCTAAATATAAAGCTTTGCAACCTATCGGGCTTACACGAAAAACTGGCTTGCTACGCGCCTGTTCGCTCACTCACAAACCATCCCTCCCCCTCCTACACCCCCAACCACCACCCCACCCTCCCTTCTATCGACCCACACTCATTTACTCGCTCCCCTACTCGCTTCGTGGAGATCCGATTTAGAATTGGTCTCTCGTTACCTCTACTTGTACGAAGCAGCTAACGTGACCGGTGGCCAGTATGGCTGACTTGGTTGACACATAACATCGGATCCCAGTTGCTTAAAACGAAGCTTATGATGTCAACCAGTGTATTGTCAGACAGACTATAGAATAGGTTATTTAGTGACCACCGCATCAAGACTGCATATTCCCGAGTGCGTCCTTAAACAAAACACACAGTCGTGCACCCGTAACACCTCGAATTCCAGCTTGCCATACCCATCCACTCACCACCCCAATGTCTGTTTCAGGGCCGACTGGCGGTATATGCCGAAAGGAATATGCTGTCAAAGGTAGAAGATTGGAAATGGATCAAACCTTTGTTGAAGAGAGTTGACTGTTAAGGCACGAAAAATAAAATACATATAAAAACCGCGTTGCAAGGGAGTGAGTTGCAACGAAATGGAATAAGCGTTTTTAGAATTTCGCGCATAAATGTTTTCACGAAGGTGTCAATATGCTCTAACATTGTAGGGGTACTGGGCTGTAGGGGTTATGGCATGTAGGGGTTTTGGGAGACAACCTGTACAACTCGTTATCGGTGTCTCTGGCGTCGCTTGCATACTGAGAGTTGCCTCCCGCAGCCGTGCAAGGATACGGCTCTATTTTATATATGACCACAACACCTTCACCCATGTTTGTGGGTGGTCATAAGAAAGTCAATTTCAGAGTTCTAGCTCGGCACCAAAGCACTCTTGATATCACAAACACGTACACACGCACGCACGCACGCACACAGAGCGATCACACTGAACTGCCGTTTTAAGCGGCTGTAAACCAAATGCATACTTGCCAAACAAGTCAAAGATTAAAAATTGCGGGAAATTGGCCAAAATCTCGCGTTATCGTTTCGTACGGCACGTTTCCGAAAAACTGAGAATGCCCCTTATGGGTTTCCATACTTTTAAGAAGGAAACAATTATGAATACAGAGCGCATCGCACTATATAAAATTACATGTCATTGTAAAGAAATCAGGCGATGTTCAGGATATACAAAAGCAGTATAACAAGTCTAATAGGGGTTTCCGTGCTAAACAAACAACAGGCACTGAATTGTCTTCATGTACATTATGTCGAGACCGACATACCGATCTCACCGCCTCAGCTGTTTCCATGTTTAAATGGAAAGCTCTGTTGTTTAGTCAGATTGTTTGGCTTACCAAAACATTACATGAATGTTTTTGTGTCTGTCGCCAGGATGATCAATGGCTTTCATGCATTGTATCCTAATTATTCATTGCCTCGTATCGGTGATCGATACGACGCTATACGATCTCTTTGTTTTCTTTTGTGTAGTACTCAATGGACAGTGTTTGAAGCACACCGACTTGATTTTCCCCATGGTAAATACACGCAATGAATAACTGATGAGATCCAATGATCTGGACGAAAAAACACTTCTGTCATGTCAACAGAAAGTAACCTTCATTAAAAGTGCGTTAGTTCTTGAAACGAGGTGCTTGTCGTTTGAGCCTTGAGGGCGGTGGGGGAGCCTAGTGGTTAAAGCGTTCGCTCGTCTCGGCGGAGGCCCGGGTTCGATTCCCCACATGGGTACAATGTGTGGAGCCCATTTCTAGTGTCCCCCGCCGCGATTTGGCTGGAATATGGCTAAAAGTGGCTTAAAACCATGCTCACTCACTTTTGACTTGACTATTACATCGGCGAACGATAGATCGATGTCGGTCGTGTTATTCTTGTAGGTTACGGAAAGGGACGAGTGGTGACGAATGAGGTCGTTTTCTGTAGCTAAACTTCCGGACAAAAGAAAGTATACACTCACGTTTGACTGAGCTAAAAAGGAGAGAAACATGAATTTATTTTTTTCGATGGTGATGTTTTTTTTCGGAATGTGTTCTTGGATCTTAAGTTTGAAGTGTTTCAACGACAGTTTTCAGCCTAGTACCGGTTTGGAAACGCTCGCTATTTCTTGGTTAAAGTGAATTTCAAGTATATACTTTCTGCGACCGACAGTTCATATAGAAGGTATGCCATTAAAATATAAACCGCTCCGAAAATAACAGATCAGTGCAAAGAAATATTATTTTTCACCCAAACAATGCATCGATATAATTCAGAGTGAATAAGAGGTGAGAAAACTAATTTTTTTTTATGTTTGCAGAACTCAGTTAAACATTTCAGAGAATTCGTTTGAATTGAATGTCAATAAATAGCACTGAGGGTTAAACAAAGAAACCTGTGTTGTAAGTTAAACCGTGTAGCGAATTTAGACATCGCCTTTGGATAAACTTGGATTGGATCGGGGACATAAATAACTGAGACAACGAAATATTCACGATAACATTTCATGATTCATGAGGGGCGGTGGGTTAAGTCTAGAGGTTACAGCGTTCGCTCGTCACGCCGAGGCCCGGGTTCGATTTCCCACATGGCTACAATATACTATTAAAAAAAAGAAACGTATAACCCAGAAATCTGTTGCGAAAATGTTGTATTTTCAAACATGTATAACACGTCCACAAATAGACTTTAGTACATGAATCTTTACATCAGTTTAGAAGAAGGTAATGTCTATACAACCAAGTGGATAATTTTAGATAACTGAGACGTTGAGCGCAATGGTGACGACGTAGCATGGTTCCGACGTCGGGTCTCCTGGTTCTCAGTCCAATCTCTCTCAACCTGTTCCGTACAGTTTGACTGGATATCCTCCGAAGTCCAGGCACACGTGGCAGTACGATCACTCAAATGTAGTACCCGGATGTACCGATCTTGGGCTGCAGTGGTGACTCGAGGTATGCCTGTACGGGGACGGTCATTTGTTATACCTGTTTGGTTGTAACGAGCTGCAACCAGTAATATCCAGCTCAGACGCCTGGCAACAGAAAATTGGTAATCTCCAGCGTGCATTCTTCCAATGGCGATGTTCCGATCCGTGTCGCAGCGTCAAGACTTGGCGTAGTGATTTGACCTTTAAACTCCTTCAAAACGCATGCCGATTTCCGAAAGTAATCTGGATTTTTATAGCCGGACAGTGAATGCTCTTTGTTGCACAATTTCAACTGGAAGGTGATTTCTGTTGCGTTGTGGCGATGCCATTTTAATTCTTGTAAGAAATCTCAGCAAAATCAACATTTTCAGGTAAAGTCGACTTTTCACTTGTGCAATTGTGTAAAATCATGCTATTAACACTTTTGTTACATATTTTGACGATTGTTTGAACACAATAGGTAATTAATAGATTTTAAAAAATACAAAACGCCTATGCGTTTCTTTTTGGGATAGTATATGTGGAGCCAATTTCTGGTGTCCCCCGCAGTGAGATTGCTGGAATATTGCTAAAATCGGCGTAAAACTAAACTCACTCACTCACTCAAGAATTTAATCCCGCTCTCTTACTGTCAATTGCCGGAGATTACCTTACCTAACTGCCCAATAACGTCTTAACCAGTAGGTTTAACCCATCATCTGAGCAGTACAATGAACAGGATCTTGGTCAGCAAAATCCGAAGAAAAATGTTGTTCTGTCAAACTGATCAACGTGAAATGCTTTCATCAAGTTAAGCTTTTCTCCTACATCAATCTGAACTGCCGTGATACAACTAAAGTATTTAATTAAGGATTAAACCAACTAATAACTGACTGTGTTTGGCCTGAGCACATAAGCTGGTTAAAGTTAAATGAGCATATCGATTTTTGGATGTCATTTGTCCTTGATCTCAGAGCTGGATCTGACATCTTATTCCTTGCTTATACCGTTAGGTAAATACGGTTAGGCTTGTAAGTACCTTTTAATTTAATCTCTGTCTAATGATCGCCGAGGTACGGGTATAATTGTGTTGACTGTGGTCTTTGGGACCTTACTTAACCCGCTCACCTCTTTGACGTCGTGTACACTCCAAACTAAATATTTAATAAACGATAAAATATTGATGATATGTGTGCGTGCGTGATCATTCTTGGATCTTGTGTCGATGTGTTCGTTCTAATCAATACTCGAATGGCTGCTGTTATGAAACGGAGGAGTTTCATCCTTGTTGGTCCAGGGTTCGGCACTGCATCAGCGGATGCCACTGTCAGAGTGAAATAGTTTTGAAAAGCCGCGAAGGGAGGAAACTTCAACAGCGTGAGAGAAGGATGAAGAGACAGGGTGAGACTGACATGAGTGAGTGAGTGAGTGAGTATAGTTATGCGCCGCGCACCAGAAATGGGCTTCGAACCCGGGCCTTCGGCGTAACGAGCGAAGAATGACATGAACAGATACAGGATACCCATATGGAGAATCGAACTCGTGACTGCGGCTTGACAAGCGAACGCTTTAACCATTACATTAACCACCACATTGGACAGCGTTGAGTGAGTGAGTGAGGTTTTACGCCACTTTTAGCAATATTCTAGCAATATCACGGCGGGGGACAACAGATATAGGCTTTACACATAGTACCAATTTGGGAAATCGAACCCGGGTCTTCGGCTTGACAAACCAACGCTTTAACCACAAGGCTACCCCACCGCCCTGGACAGCTATGAACTGAGTGAGTGAGTTTAGTTTCACGCCACTTTTAGCAATATTCTAGCAATATCACGGCGGGGTACACCAGAAATGGGCTTCACACATTGCACCCATGTCGAACCCGGATCTTCAGCGTGACGAGCGAACGCTTTAATCACTAGGCTACCCCACCGCCCTGGACAGCTATGAACTCGGACAGGATGGGAAAATGACGAACAGTGAGAAAAACAGAGATGGTGGGATTAAGGTTGAGAGGATTATTTTAGGTACAGACAAAAGAGATAGGGTAAGATAGCGATGAACACATCGCTTGAGATTCAGATAAACATAGACTTGTTCAGGGGGAGTGCGTGAGTTTATTTTTACGCCGCACTCAGCAATATTCCAGCTGTATGGCTGCGGTCTGTAAGTAATAGGGTCTGGACCAGACAATCCAGTGATCAACAGCATGAGCATCGATCTGTGCAATTGAGAACCGATGACATGTGTCAACCAAGCCAGCGAGCCTGATCACCCGATCCCGTTAGTCGCGTCCTACGACAAGCATGGGTTACTGAAGGTTCATTCTAACCTGGACCTTCACGGGTCGTTGAGGTAGAGATAAACATGGGTTGCTTAAGACCAATTCTAACCCGGATCTTCACAGGCCCACGCAAGTCCAGGACACATAACACCATTCAAAAAATACACATGTATTCAAAGTTCTCCTTGTTTCCAGCATAAGAATAAAAAATGCATAACCGTCAAGGCAAAGCTGTACATGAACATGTAAAATAGAAGTCCTTATCAGAATGATAAGTTCTGGAATTATATGTTATCGTATGCCATTCAAAAGAGAACAAAAGTAGCCACAAGAACATGATATCATTTATTGAATTACTATTTGCTTATTGACACTGTTT